TACAAAAAACTCAAAAATGCGACTGTCGTCCCGACAGGCCACTTTAAACTCAAAAAACTCAAGATAAATGTGACTGTCGTCTCGACAGGTCAGTACAAAAATCTCAAAAATGTGACTGTCGTCCCGACAGGCCACTTATTACCAACTCATGTGACTGTCGTCCTGACAGACCACTTATTACCCTTAATTAATTTCACTTAATGATCGCTTCGAGAATGTTACATTTGCACCGGGCGCTATTTGACCGTCAAATCCTACTGATATCCAATATATGATAATTCACTTGTGGCTGTCATCCCGACAGGTCAATTGCTGTTTGATTGCCCTCCGACAGTCAAATCTGATCTTAATGCAAACAATAATAAACCTGTGACTGTTGAGCTGATAGGTCACCTATGTGAAACCCAAGATTTGACCAAATCCAAGAGTACTAAACGTAAAGCGTATGAATGCGAGATTTCAACTATCGTCGAAAAGGGCTCATTAGGTCACATGTGAGGGTGGGAGAGGGTGGGACGAAAAAACCAGATGGAAATTGTCTTGTTTGGAAAAACCCATTCCTCCAAATATGCCCTCAAACAATTACTAGATCGAAAATACCACACAATTGTGCAACAATCATAATATAAAATCCTTAGATAAATTAATTTCACTTTGTGTTCGATTCGAGACCCATGTTCGATTCGAGACTCATGTTACTTTCGCACCGGGCGCTGATTGACCGCCAAATCCTACTGATATCCAATATATTTGATAATTCACTTGTGGCTGTCGTCCCAACAGGCCAATTACTAAAGGTTTAATTGCAATCCAACAGGCAAAATCCTGAGCATAATATACGATAATTCTTTGTGACTGTCGTCCCGACAGGCCACTTGCCAAAACCTAGGATTTGACCGAGCGTAATGTATACAAATACATGATAGTTCACTGTGGTTGTCATCCCGATAGGCCACCTACTATCCAAACGTAATATGCACAAATATGCAATAACTCTTTGTGCCTGTCATCCCGACAGGACGAATTCCCCTGGTACTCACTAAAGTAACAACTATCAATTCATTACGCTCTATCCATCAAAAACAATACCTAACCGAGCGTAATATGCACAAATATATGATCACCTTGTGACTGTCGTCCCGACAGGCCACTTCCTGAAAACTTAAGATTTGATTATCACCTAACAGGCCAAATCCCGTTGATATTCACTGAGAGTAATGTGCACAAACTTTTGTGACTGTCGTCCTGGCAGACCACTTCCTGAAGACTTAAGATTTGACTATCGTCCACAAGCCAAATTCCACTGGTATCCATTAAAGCAACAGCTATCAATTCATTACGCTCTATCTATGAAAACAATACCTACCCGAGCATAATGTATACAAATATGTGAGCTTTGTGACTGTCGTCCTGACAGACCACTTTCTGAAACTTAAGATTTGACCGTCGTCCGACAGACCAAATCTCTCTGCTATTTACTAAGGTAACAACTTATCGTCCAACAGGCCAAATCCAAACTGATGTTCACTTAGGCAACAACTATTAATTCATTACGCTCTATCCATCAAAAACAAATACCTACCCGAGCGTAATGTGCACAATATGTAAAAAACTTGTGACCGTCGTCCCGACAAGCCACTTCCTGAAACTTAAAATTTGATTATCATCTAACAGGTGATATTCACTAAGGTAATGACTTTTAATCCATTACGCTCTATCAATCAAAATAATACCTATCCGAGCATAATGTGCACAAATATAAAAAACATTTGTGACTGCCATCCTAACGTGCCACTTACTGAAAACTTAAGATTGACTGTTGTTTGACAGGCCAAATCTCACTAATGCAATGACCATTAATTCACTACGCTCTATCCCTCACAAATAGTACGTACCTATCCAAACGTAATATGTACAAACATGCAATAATTCCTTGTGGCTGTCCACAATATGCAAAAACTTTGTGACTGTCATCCCGACAGGCCACTTCCTGAAAATCTAAGATTTGACTGTCGTCTGAGTGTAATGTGCACAAAAATATAAAAACATTCGTCACTGTCGTCTTGACAGGCCACCTACTGAAAAACTTAAGATTTGACTGTCGTCCGACAGGCCAAATCTCACTGATAAATGACTATTAATTCACTACGCTCTATTTCTCACAAATAGTACCTATCCGAGCGTAATGTACAAACATGCAATCATTCCTTGACTGTGTATATTCTTTATATTCAATTTCTTTTGCATATCGTATTCTATCCAACCAAGTTGCAAAAAATTTATCACCAATAACTTGAATGTTAACTAATCCATTAAAAGAAATCCATTCGATTACGTCTTCATATTTCGTGGCCTTAAATTGAAATTCCTTAATGCAATCATCGACCTCCTTAATTCCACTTGCTCATCCTTGTGTTGTTTTCCAAGGGTCCCATGTTTGACACCAAGCGAAAGATGTGTTATATCGATCGCAATTTGCACATTTTCCATATCAACCCAGTACGTATCGGTATAAGTAGAAATTAACGTTATGTAAAACAAGTTATTAATTAAGCTGCAAATAATTTAGCAAGCATATAAATTTCGTGAGCTAGTCAATCTCACAAGCTTCACTTTATATGACAGTGCCCGTGATTTGTAATAATATCCGAATACACATCCATTTTCTACATAACATATCCAAGTTGCTAAAACTCTATCGTCAATATATTCTTGTCACTCATCGAGGAGGTGTTTCAAAAAACTCTGGAATACAATTGTGGGTTGCACAAATACATAAAAAACATTTGTCACTGTCATCCTGACAGGCCATCTACTGAAAAACTTAAGATTTGACTGTCGTCCGACAGGCCAAATCCCACTGATGCAATGACCATTAATTCACTATGCTCTATCCATCACCAATAATACCTATCCGAGCGTAATATGTACAAACATGTGATATTTCCTTTGCTACTGTCATCAACTGTGACAGTTCCTAGTAATTGTTGTCTCACAGATAATTCACTGAACACTTAAGATTCGAATCTCACTAATATTCCTAAAGCAGCATCTATGCATTTGTTCATCAAATCTAAAAGTAATTGTGGGACTTTAGATCTGATTTTAGGCCTTTTCCCCTTTATAAATTTTTGTCGCTAGTTTGAGATTGCTGATCTGCCTCCATGTTTATGTTTATTTTTAATCTAAATTATTAATTGGGATAAATAAAACTTGAATAATAACAAATAGAAGTGTCAAATAATATATACTTTATTTAAAAATTCTGGTTTTATATCTTAGAATTATCAAGGCCTTTTAAACAAATATCTTTTTGTGCACTTTGTTTCCAAAAATTCTTTTGGCTATCAGTCCATACTGCCTTAAAAACAGTGCCAAAGCCTCCTTTAACGAGATACTTTATATTTGTAAAATTACTAAAAGATATCCATTCAATAATGTTTTTAAATTTCTTTGCAGTAAGTTGAGTTTATAAATTCATCAATGGTGGGATTGCCACTTGTCCAATTGTGAAAATTCTATTATTTAAAAAATAACTAGTACATTACAGTCTATCATTGGTTAATTGAAGACAAATTACAGTATTAGAATTACCATTGGTGCTTTGATTTAAGTAAAAAAAAAAATTCTGCAAAGAATTTACTTGTTGTAGTGACTCAAAGTATGTGGATTAGTTAGAATGAATGCTCATTAGAGTATTGACTTGTACTGTGATTTACTGAAAAAAAAATCTAGATAAAACTTACAGACTGTAGTGACACAAGGTATGCGGATCAATTAGAATTAACGTTCGTTACGGTATTGACTTGTGTGATTTTTGTAAAAAAAAAATAAATTCTATAAAGAACTTACAGAATGTAGAGGCGACACAAAGTTTGTGATTTTAGAATTAACGTTTGTTAGGGCATTGACTTATCGTTATACCGTGATTTACCGTAAAAAAATTATGTAAGAATTTACCGACTGTAGAGGCGCACAAAGTATGTGAATTAGTTAGAATTAATGTTCGTTAGGGTATTGACTTGTATCGTGATTTACTGCAAAAAAAACAATTATATAAAGAACTTACTTGCTGTATTGACACAAAATATGTGGATTAACGTTGTTATAGTATTGACTTGTACCGTAATTTACTGTAAAAAAGTTCAATAATTTATATGCCAATTAATTAGAATAATAATAGTGTTCGATTAACTAGTTGGCCAATTTACCATCCCTGAATAGGAATGGTTTGAAGCGAAACAAGAATTAGAACAAAGAAACGAAAATGCAATTTTAAATTATAGAATAAAAAACTTATACGTATAAATTAATTAAAAATGTTTTTATAAAGTATATTAAAATTTTATTGCTTTATGTATTATTGTCAGTAACTAAGTTAGAAATTTGAAATTTGTTCAAGATACGCTCGATTTTGAAATTTTATCAATTACGGTAACAGTAATAACATTGACAATCGAAAAATTAATTTCTAATATAAAGTAAAATATAATCATGTGAGTTTGTATGGGCGAAAATTTTTGATGGGGATGTTGTGATTATTAAAATTAAGTGATATGTAGCTGCCCGATACGAAAGTATCGGAGCAGCCTTTTTTCACGAATTGAACACGGAGTGTAAATTGATCAGAGGATTCGGTTATGATTAATTGCATGATTAGTATGGATCATGCAAATGTATTG